ACACACACCCCCCACACACCCCCCCCCCACACACACACCCCCCCCAAACACACACCCCCCCAACACCACCCCCCCACACACACCCCCCCCCCCCACACACACCCCCCCCACACACACCCCCCACACACCCCCCCACACACCCCCCCCCACACACCCCCCCCACACACCCCCACACACACCCCCCCACACACCACCCCCCCACACACACACCCCCCCACACACACACCCCCCACACACACACCCCCCACACACACACCCCCCACACACACACCCCCCCACACACACACCCCCCACACACACCCCCCCACACACACACCCCCACACACACACACCCCCCACACACACACCCCCCACACACACCCCACTGGCAGTTAGTTGTTCACGACTGGAAGTGGAGGTGGGGAGGTACTGACATTTTGCAAAAAAAAAAGCAAGTGAGCGTTTTATTGACTTAAACTTATTTTTTCTCTCTCTCTCTCTAAAAAGAATCGCGTATGTGCGGAGAGTCCCTCTGTTATTACTGAGTCCACACAGCAGATTGGGTTTCTGGCGTTTAAACGAGAGGCACTTGTGCCCCTTTTTGGAAACCCGAGGGCATCGTTTGGGATGTATCACACATTGCCTTTGGTGGCGTCGTCGCTTTGTGACTGCGATTGAACGTACTTTATTTTATACGTTTTGGTTAATTTCTTTCTTTCTTTCTTTCTTTCTCTCTCTCCCACCCTTGCCCGCTAGGTGGCTGCTTGGTCAGCACGGTCTCGGATTAGGGTTCAGCTCACATCCAAACACCTTATCCCACATTTGCTATGATTGGCCTCCTTGGTTGTATTAAGTACGTTTTCTAAACCTTTGCAAACCCAAACCAGTTAGAAACCTGTCACCATCCGAGCACCAGTTAAACCCGTGTGATTGCACAATATACAGTCAATTCACTTTACAGTGTGTTCTGTGAAGCGCTTTGGGACGTCCTCCCGACGTGAAAAGCGCTATATCAAATGCAAGGATTATTATTATTATTATTATTATTATTATTGCTAGTCTGTGGATCAGCATGTGCTATCCTGGCTCAGCCTGCAGTCACAAGAGAGAGAGGGAGGGAGGGAGAGAGAGAGAGAGAGAAAAAAAAGATGTACAAAGTGTTGTCAATGAAATCGTCATGTGAACAAATGGTGCAGAAGACTCCCTGTTGTGGATTGATGTTTCCTTCAAACGTAACAGCTGTTTCTGTGAAAATATTACTATCCTGCATTGTCTTTAAAAAGATTATTTTGTGTTAAAGTCACCCGGTAACTCATTCGATTGCCTGCTTTAAACATTCTGCCTACCAGCTTGTCATGATTGTACTAAGTCACTGAGCGCGAACAGCGAGATCAATCCCATTTGTGATGCATTGAGCTAATCTGGTTGGTGTTTATAAAATGTATTTTTGCTGAAAGATTTTTAACAAAATATTTTCAATTCTATCTTAGTAAAGCAAGAGCGTACAGTATAATTTAGAGCTGTAATTTTGACAAGGATTGACCTTTGAACTACTGTACTATTGGCACTATTTGTCATGGTTGCCTTATAGAGGGAGGAAGCGTGAAGGATATGAGTTGATATTTCTAGTATCTAATAGTAGGTAATTATTAAGATAAAGCATCAGTAACAATTTGAGGTATTCTTCACAAGGTTCATTTATTTAAAACATCCCTTCATAAATAAATAATCACTCAATCCATGACGGTTTGTGGGACAATTGGCTGACGTGTTTCGCTCACAAAATATACAGTCAATTCACTTTACAGTACATTCTGTGAAGCGTTTTGAGACATCGCAATGAATTGATAAAGCTTTATATCAAATGAAAGGATTATTGTATTTAGCATTAATTCCATTGCTCCTTTCGGTTTGTCATAAGATTGTGGTGAAAAGGGAATCCAGTGCTTCAAGTTTAAAGTATTGCATTCAGTTAACAGCAGATTACATAGTTAGTAATTGTGTACAATATTGTTTGTATTAATGTATTTTACTAAATTCTGATAGTATAGGAAAATATTAAGACTGGCGGAGCAATGTCTATTAAAATACTATGAATATTACATTAGAATAATATTATGAATACAAATCAAGATTTCTTCCATTGTATATTCTTTTTAAATGGTTAACAATTTGGTTAACTGTTTTTCTGTTTAACAATTTGATTACTTGCAAATTCAGTGTGTTAAAACTAGTATCTGCTTGTGTGACTATTGTTGGCGTTTATTATATGTAGGTACGAGAAAATATTTTGCACAATTCATTTTTATTCTTGGCATCATTGTAGGCTATCGCACTTAGGATACATTATGTAGAAAAATAGAGAAGAATTTTAGAAAAGCTTTTTTTTGTATTTACCTTTGGTATTATAATTTTGTGACCTTTCTTACTCGAGTTCATTGCCTTCCATTAGTGTAGTGCATGAATGAACTGTTTGTAGTGTTTTTCTGTGTACTGCTCTGTCATTGTGTTGATTTAAAAAAAACACAGAGGATTAAAATCCAGATTTTTATTATTTTCAACAATAATCCTTACATTTTGTATAGTGCCTTTCATGTCAGGGGGCGTCCCAAAGCAGGATTTACTGTAAAGTCCAGTGACTGTATTTTGTGGGCAATAGATTGAACGTGCACAGGGTATGCCATGTTCAGCTGCTGTTTGAAGAACTGGCCAGAAAATGCTGAAGTTTAAGAGGTTATCCTTCATATTCTGTTGGTCTTGAGTAAGTTCAGTCTTTGCGCTCTGAGGTTGTCAGGGTAACAGTTGATTTGTCCCTGGTCTGGTCTTCGGTGAATGGATGGAATGAGAGTGCCTTGCTCTCACACGCTCCGAACTGTGGCAGCTGTGCTATATAGGCAGGGAAAATGTGCCTTAAGAAATTCCTGATGATGCAATCTAATCTGTCAGCATTTGAAAAGAGTGTTAGGCTCTTGTTTCTTTGCTTTTTTTTAAAATTAAGTATTAATGATTGGGGTATCAGTTAAAACAGTTAACATAGTCACAACATTCATCTAGATATGTAGTGTGGGATGCAGCAGAAAGTGGCTTTGGGCTGGATTATGTCAGTCTGCTTAATCTTCCTCTGGATAGTATTAACTGGAGAGGTTGAAACTGGGGGAGCAAACTGTGCTTTAATAGACTAGTTGTGGTGACAAGCTGTACATCAGAGCAGTCCAAAGGAAAGGCAGAACTGAGTAGGTTGCAGCAACTGAAGATCCATTGTTTGATTGGTTTAACAATTACGTTAGTACTTTGAGGAATTTGTGAATATAATCTGCCCTTTAAAATGTAGGAGGGAATCTTTGCAAAGTAGAACTCGGTAACTTAAAGGACTTTTATCTATTGTTTTCAATATTTCACAGAAGTACAAAGAATGCTTGGCAGTGGGGTGTGTTTTGTTGAAGTATTTAAATTTGTATTCTTCAAGAGGGGCAGAAAAGTAAGGGACTGCTATTTATATTCATGTGAAAATTGTGGATGGTTCGCTTCTTTCTTAGAATAAAGGTAGACATTGTATTCTTCATTAGAAATGCTTGAATAATTGAATGCATTGCAATTTTGCTCGAGAAAGTGTGTAGGCAGCACCTTTTTATAATTAAGACCTGCTCTGACAGTTATAAAGATTTAATTACAGAAGATGAAAGGTTGATATTATTATGACCAAGGCAATACTTTAATCATTTGAATAAATATTCCAAAGCCACGTGTAAACCATATTAGCTTCTGTTGTCTCTTAATACAATAGGATAAATGGTGCCAGCTTCAACCCAGTGATTCTGCACTTCATTTCAGTTTGCCCTAACAATCTTAATATTTATTCTGTTTTTTTGTGCCCATAAGTATCTCTGAAATGGAAGGGGATATTACTTGTGGGGTATTTACAGTAGATTTTAGTGGTCCATAATTGAAATATAGTACATGATGCAGAAAGCCTGCAGAACTGTGGAGTTGGGGATCTAGCGTGGGTATTTTAATGCTTGATATTTGCATAATTGCATTAGAATGATCTGCTTCTGTTGATCATATATCATATCTATGTCATTTACCAAAACTTTTGATGATACAAACTGTTTCTTGTCTCCTTTCAACTCATCAGTTTTACATTT